CAGCAGGAAGCGGTGAAAGTTAATAATAATAATATAAGTATATTTAATGATAATATTAACTAAAAATATACTGAAAAGAAAGAAGCAGAAATTCAATGATAAATATGATGACGACAGTTTTACAATACATAACCTAATGAAACCAAACACACCAACAACAATACAACCACCGAAGCTGATGAAAAAGGGCATACCGAGAGAATTTGTTGACATTGCAACCAACACAGATACTATTGCTACAGCAACCAGAGAGACGCAAGAAAAGTTATACAATGATACAGACCAACCATTAAACGTGACATTTGAAGCGGTTAAGGTAAAGGAAAACCAGGACAATATGTTTAAATTAATGCTAAAAAACTTTTGGCACAACACATACAAAAGAAATGAGCCAACAAGAACACAGGCAACACAAACATTGAAAAACCAACGCGACGCAATGGTGTCAGCCTTTACTGAAATGCTTGACAACAACAAACCACCAGAACCACCGCCAAAGAAACCACCAGACGAGGATGACAGCGATGAAGAAGAAAAGAAGTTCAAACTGACAAAAATGATAGAAATAATGCTACACAACGGCGCTACAGTAGCAGATATAATATTAAACTTATCACATAGCGCAATTGCAACAACAATAAATATCGCAGATTTAGTTAATCAGATAACAGCAGGAAATGCACAAAGTAGCAGTAGCAATTCATCAAATGAAGCTATTAGTGTTCATAGTTCTCCACCTATTACAGTTCATAGTTCTTCATCCGAAAGTCCAACAGAAATACCAGCACCAACTGAAGACGAAGAAGAAGAAGAAAACCAACATTTCAATTTTGAAAAATTAAAATCTAAATAATATTATATATAATGGGTTCAAGTAAATCAAAACCAGTAGAAATTGATGACGAAGAGGCTATTAAAGTAATAAAAGATATAGATGTAAATACGATAAGTGAAATGTCAAGAATTGATATTCTACAAATAAATTCATTGAAAGCAATAATCAATAAATTAGAAAAAGTAAATGAATGTAAAAAGGATAAAATATATTATAAATTACCTGCTCTCAACCTTTGTAGCTATTCATTATTTTGAATTAATAATATTAAAACATAATTAATATTATTAATTGCTTATACAACTTCTTTCACTTTTTGGCGTTGATGTTGAAACAGTGCTATTTGTTTCATCTATTAAATCGTCGCGAAGCTCGCGAGCCTCTGGCGAAGCGTCTTCATCAACAAAATTATTTTGAAATCTTAATAATTCCTCGTCCGTTGCCCTCCTCTTCAATGCCTTATAAAGTTTATGTATCCAAGAATTAGTATGAAAATTATAATTACCTCTACGATACAATCCACCGCATTTACATTGCTTTATAACCATATTATTATATTATATTAAATTAGAATATCTTTATTCATCATTTGTAATTTGAAATGCCTGTTCAAAATTGATATGAAACATGTTGTTAATGTCTTTTGAATTCATATTCACGTAGAAAACAGAATATGGAGCAAAATTAACGGCTTGATGATACATATCTAATAATTGCTGTTTATCAACAATGGCGCTATGTTCTTCAATAAAACTCATTAGCTCACTGGCATTTTTCAACCTAAAAATATATAATGAACTGGCATTCAAACGAATGATAGGCGCTAAAACATTGTATTTTTGTGTTGAACAAATCACACTTACTGCATCGTGCCTGCCTCTTGTAAATAATCCATGTAATAATTTACTATATCTAACAAATTTAGGGTCGTCTGCGTGGTCATCTATCACGATTAATATTGAATGCAGTTTCTTTATCTTTTTAGATTTCATATAATTAATTATTTTCTTCTGTCTTTCAATTACATTTTCTAAATCACTTGGATTATAATTATCAAAATAAATTTGTTCTTTTTCATCATCCACGTGCAATTCATCCCTGATATATTTTTTAACTTCTGTAAATGTAGGGTCGTTATGGACGCTGGGTGAAAATATAAATATTCTTGCGAATGAATTTCTATAAACATTCAATATTAAATTTTGAATAAGGACAGTCTTCCCGCCCGTTGAACTCGCGACTATAATACTTCTAAATGGTAATTTTGGCACGTGCTCATATTTAGATTGTTTGAATTCATATTCAGTTATGTTTATTGGTTTTATTATTGGAACATCTGTCATATAGTTGATATTAAAGAAATATAGAAAATTATATTTAAAAATTAACTTGTAATTATTATTAAATGGAACATCATTTTTATGATATGCTGGTGGCGAATATCATAAAATGGAACAGGTTTTCCATTGCTACAATCAATAAGCATTGAAGCTAATTAGTTTGTATCTCTCTCGCGTGTGCAATGAAAACCCCAAGTGCTGTGCCCCACCAATATTCTATTATGCATGAAAATAATAAAATTAAATAATTTAAATAATTATTTTATCTTATTATTATATGACTGTTATCCATTGCAATTGTTGTAAAACTTATGATAGCAAATATTTATTTAAACATCTAAATTCAAAACATCATCAGAAATTTGTAGAATATAGATGGAATAAAGACGATACAATGAAAAAACTTTACAAGAAAAGAAAACTTTACAATAATTTATCTTATTATTTAATATGAAAAGGAGTTATACAGATTATATTAATATAATAGATGAAATGGAGAATATAGAACAAGTACTAATAACTGATAATAGATGTAAAAAAAATATGTTATTTTATTTTAGAATTAATTAAGTTTTTGATACAATATATTAAAAATATACATATTAATATAAATGCCAAAAAAGAAAAACAAAAAGAATAAGACAGGTTTAAGTGTTTCTTCAACAGATGAAGATAGCGGAGAAATTGTTAAAGAAACATCAGTATTTGAGATTGCTTGTCCTATGTGCAAAAAGAGGTTAGAACTTAAAAATGAATTAGAAATAAAAAATAATAAATCATGTAAATGTTCATGTATTCCAACAAGTTTCAAAATAAGTAAACATGATAAGAAGATAAATATTGATAAAACTAAAGACAGTATCAACTTAGAAACTGATGTCCATAGTATAACTTTTAAATTTGGTAGGCAAGCAACACCATCCGATAATAATGAAAACGAAACACAGGAAACTGTTAAACAAATGATGAAAAATATATAATTAAATAAATAAATATCTAAATAAATATATAGTAATGTCTGAAAACGAAAATTATACTATTAATGATTTAATGAAGAAGATAACATTAATTAGTAAAAATATCAAAAACTTAAATGATATGATTAAATCCATTGATGACAAAATGAAACCAGTTGAACGCAATGAAGATAAAGAAAAAATCGAAAAGATATTTCAAGCAAAATCTATAGGAAGACCATCGGGCGACTACCCTACAAAGCAAAAGAAATACTGTGATATGTTGAATACAGGAAAAATCAAACAACCAAAGCAACAAACATTAGAGTTTTATAAAATTACAAAAAATGATGATGAAGTATATGTATTATTTGAATAATTAATATCTAAATAATTCTAATAAATGAATTTATTAGAATTATTTAGCGGAACAAAAAGCGTCGGAACCATAGCAAAGTCGCTTGGATTTAATGTAATATCATTAGACTTGAAAAATGCTGATATCAACACTGATATTTTGGAGTGGGATTACAAACAGTTTGACAGAAACCATTTTGATTTTATTTGGAGTAGTCCCCATGCACTGAATACAGCATAGCAAAAACTAGGGGAATTAGGAATATCGAATATGCAAATAGTATTGTCTTAAAAACTATTGAGATTATCAAATATTTCAATCCTAAATATTTTGTAATCGAAAATCCACAAACTGGATTATTAAAACATCAGTGGTTTATGGATGAGTTTGATTTTAAAGATGTAGATTACTGTAAGTATGGAATGCCTTACAGAAAACGCACTAGGCTCTGGAATAACATTACAACTTGGAAACCTAGAGAATTATGTAAAAAGGATTGTGGTAACATCAGGAATAATAAACATATTGAAACAGCACAACGTTTGTGCCAAGTGGAAACAAGGAACAATGGGGTGACAATCCAATAATACATAAGCAGGAAGATTTATACAAAATACCTAGCGAATTAATTTGTGAAATCTTGGTGAGTTTGACGGATTAAGGATTTTGAGTTTGGGTTTCACGGGCTTTGTGATAAATGTTTCACAGGTTTTGTGATAAATGTTTCACGGGCTTTATGGAAATATTCCACGGGCTTCGTGATAAATGTTTCACGGGCTTTGTGGAAATATTCCACGGGCTTTGTAGAAATATTCCACGGGCTTTGTAGAAATATTCCACGGGCTTTGTAGAAATATTCCACGGGCTTTGTGGAAATATTCTACGTGCTTTGTAGAGTTATTTTACGGCCTATTGCAATGTTTAAAACCATACTATAATAATAACATTTATACCCTTATATGTTATAATTATAATGTAAGTATAGCGTTTTATATATTGAAGATAAAATCCTACAAGGGACACCACGCCCCAAAACAATATATGATGAAACTGATGAAACGAAGGAGGGAGTGATGTTGTTGCTGTTCTATTTTTTGTCCGGGAAATGGACAAATCGTTTTTAGACAGTTCGAATATTTTTTTGATGACAAATATTTTTTGCAATATATTTTGCAAAATTTATTTTTATGAAATGGATGAGGTGAGGAGATTGAGGAAATGATATTTTGGAGGGTAGTTGGTGAAATGAATGAGGCGAGGAGGAAGGAGAAAAGGATGGCGAAAATTTTGGAAAAATGATGATAAAAAAACGGATGAGATGGACAGAAAGGAATGTAGAAAAATGATGAAAACGAATAAGGGTAGAAGATGGAAGATGAAAAAACATGTAGGGTGGGGGGTATGTATGAAGCAATTTATTTGCGGGGCGTGGCCCTCCACTACTGTTTTTGGGGGTGCTTCACACACGCCAAGGGAAGCCTAGTGCCCTTGAAGACCAAAACTGTCGCCAGGGCTTCCCGGCTGGGGCACCCCGGCACTTCTCCTCGCTGCAGCTGAAGGCGCCGGTAAAACATGAACTTGAACAACTGAGGGCCCACCAATGTTGTGGGATCCCTAGGCCTCACTTCTTAGCCAGACAGATTCCCATTATGGATGATGGACAAACCGCCCAAAACAAGGTACTTGATTGTTCTGGGAGGTAGGGAATCCGAACTTTTGTCCGCAAAAACGGGCTCGGCAAAAGGGCCTCCCTGGTGCGGCACGGGCTCGTTTCTTGCCCGGTTTTGGTGCAAAGCTGGTTTGTGCGCGTCTTCAGGTGGATGACTTCTGCCGCCATGTGGACAAGCACCTCCCCAAGGATGGCAAGAAGGCTGCAGACCGATTGCTGTCGTTTCCTTTTTGTGTAGGTTGTTCAAATTTCTCCTTAATCTGGAATTGAGGATTAGGGACCCAACCCATTTCGATCAACGCAGTTGGTCTCTGGATTTTGGACGTGTCGCCGCCAACTCGTGTCTCCAGGAGTTGGAAAGTGGGGCTTTGGGGTCAGCAACGGACGTTCAACATCGCTGAGAGTCAATGAATTTAGGACTGTCCAATTTGCCATAAGGGTGGGGGATGGTGGGGGGGGGGGGGCTATATAGTGAAACGGACCACCGGCCAGTTTGCCATTGTCCGCTCACAGGTTGCTCCAAGGAATCCTCAAGCTTTTCAAATGTTTCACCGCTGCCCTCCCGAACTCGTCCGCCCTAGGACCATTTAGCTATTGACTTGAGACCAGTTGCCTGGTTTGCAGGTGGTGTTCGCAACGGCTTGGCTGGCCACTGACAACGTCTTTGTTGCCCGGAGCCTTGGAGAACCTGGCTTAATGAGTTCCGCTTGGAAAATGGGGTCAGTCTCCTAAGTGGGTATAGCTGTTTGAGATCCCTTGTAAAGACCCCTACCTTCCCTTGGAGGACATTGGAATCGATGTCAATGTAAATCCTCGGGGCTCAAAGCTGGTCCACAGTAAAGAGCTGAGCCCATTCGGCAGGGGTCCCTCAATTTTCTCCGTTTGGACCTCCTGGAACCGGCAACCCACAGTGCTTGACAACAGTGCTTGATCAAAGGTTGATTTGGGAAACTCTGGTGGCCTTTGCTTGGTGTACAATTGGGGAGCCCCTTTTCGGGATGAGTCTTAAAAGGGGAGAGGACCTTTGCCCTTCTGCCGTTTGCTGTTTCGCTGGTGCGGTGTGAACCGCGCAGTGTTGGACGTTTCGGCGCATCTGAGGCTCTGATGCGCAAGCACTTCCCCGAGGTTCTGGATGGTCGGCGACCTCGGATTTCCGGTGCCGAGGGGAACCCGCGAGGTGTCCCTTTGACACAGATTCCTTCTTCTGATTCCTAGCACCCCCCCCAAAAGTGAACGGAAGTGAGCGAAAGTGAACCAAAGTGAGCCAAAGCAGAAACCACTGAAAGCAACATTTCCAACCCAAAGCAAGGGACCTGTGGAGACATGATCGAATCGTCCTGTGAGCTTGCGTGTAGCTGCTGGTTTCTTGGATTGATTCTAACCTGGCATGAACACCGAGAAAGTAGGTTTCTTTCTGCGGGCCTAGGCAACAGGTCCACCAATCTGCAAACCATGATGGGGAAGGATTTATTCGGGGGATACGGTGAATATAACCCATTATAGCTCAAATCAGTGGTATTCATAGACATAGAGGTGCAATACATATATATATATATATATATATATATCTGCATGTGATTGCATATGCATATTTGGCAACTGCACATGTGTATATATATACACATGCATATATATATATATATATATATATATATGCATGTGTATATGTTTATTTCTAGCTTACATATATATATATATTATATATATATATACCTACACGAATCCAAGCTGTAGGCATGAACTTGGTGGCCATTGACACCCTGCACCTCTTCCCCAGCACCCTGGAGTGCGCTCGCCTGGTGGAGGCCTGGACGGCATGGTGGAGGGCCCGGCGTTCCTTTGATTTCCCTTCTGATCTAAACCCTTGGGTTCCTTGGGTTTCCCTTCGGCTTCGCTTGGTTCATTGGTTTTCCTTGGGTTTCCCTTGGTTCGTTGATTTTCCCTGGGGTTTCCTTGGACTTCTCTTTCTCTTGGAATTTCTATTGGAATTTCCGTTGGTTTTCCGTTGGTTTCCCTTGTTCCTTTCAGGGAGAGAACCTCAGATTTCCGGGACAGCCTTTGGGCTTGTTTTTTTGAAGTTGGTACCCTTTTGGGAAACCAAAAGGACAAACAACGTTTTGGGGGTTTTGACACAACCCCTTTGGTACAAGACATAATGTCCCACAGCCATGGCGTCACGCCTCAAAAAAGGGGTGCCCGAAAGGAGCGCTCAACCTGGACCATCGCTTTTTCCCGTGCTCTTTTGGGCCTTGACAGATCGCCACAAGAGGTTCACATATCCGGACGGCCTCATTTTCCTGCGGACAAGCACGGACACGCACCCACCCACCCACCCACCCCCGCCCGCCCGCCCGCCTGCACGCCCGCCCGCCTGCCCGCGCACGCCTGCACGCTCGCACGCACACCTGCACGCCCGCACGAACGCCCGCGCGCACGCCCGCGCGCACGCACGCGCACGCCCACGCCCACACGCACGCGCACGCGCACACACACGCACACGCGCACGTGCTCGCGCACGCGAACGCTCACGCACACGCACACGCACACGCACACGCACATGCACATGCACACGCACACCTACACGCATGAGGTGTGCTTCACATTTGCAAGCGGTTGGACCAGCTAATAGTCCTGCAAAAGCCCAAAGTCGCACGGACAGCTTGAAGCCACATCCCGCGCAGGGCAAGTATGCGAAGAAGGCGGGGAACTGAGCAGTGTCACCTTTGGTGAGCCTTGAATCGGCATTCCTTGGAGCTCGCGCGTCTTGCTTTGTTTACCCAGTCGTTCGACTTTGATTGTTTAACATAGGCATGTATTGTTTTTGCTTGCGCTCATCTCAGAAACCAGCCCCAGCAAGATCCACCGTCCAAGGGTTCAGGGGAACATCCGAGCGGATTTTCCTGTGAAGAGTTTAGCGCGGCGCCAACAAAAGGTAAAACGGGCGACCCGTGAAACTGGGTTCTTTGCGTCTTAGGTTCCGATCTTCACACATGAGAATCATGTGTTGGTATCCGAAAGGTTCCCATTTGTGATCGAACCCAGTTAATGGGTGTGGCTCAAAAGTATCGAGCTCCCCAAAAGGGCTGAGCTGTTTGACGGATCGAGGGCCATGGGACTTCTGTCGGAGGTGCTGAAGGTTTTGGTCGCACCTATGGCACGGTGAACCTGCTTTTGGATGGTGTTCAAGGGAAGCCAAAGGGAGACCAAAACAGCTTCAGTTTTTGAGGGGTGCCCCAATGTTTGGGAGACACTCACCGCCAATCTGAGCCAATCTAAGACTGAATGAGGACTTGCTCCTTGCCACTTGTTTTCCCCCCCCAACCCGGCTATTGGTGAGGATTTGACCTATAGGTTCTCCACCACGAGCATTGTGTCATCCCTGAGGGGTGGCTTTCATGGGGTTTTCCACGTCCGTCATGTCTGGATATGGGCGAGTGTCTGGATATGAGCGGAGAATGCAGCCAGCAAGCTGGCATGAGGCCATGTGGAAGCTCCCTGAGGGCGTGACGACGCGCCTCGCTATCTGCGGTTTTCGGGGTGGCAGACGGACCGGGGCTGGCCTAAAAGGACTGCCTTTTAAGTAGCGAGCGGGCGGGCGCGGGGCTAAAACTGGTGGTCAGCGTTTTTGGTTGGTATCCAAAGACCTTATTGGACAAACCAACATGTATGGTTGCGACTGCACGTAGTCAATTCCTCTTTTTGCAGGTATGGAACCCAAACTTGTCCAAAAAAGGGATTGGCAAAAGGAACACCCTCAGACGGATGTGTATGCGTGTTGCCGACATGCCTATAGGTTGATAACCACTCGGAAAAGCAAGGACACGCCGTTCCCATGATTCTCCTTGTGGATGGATGGTATTTCGGGTGCATTGTTTGGGTGCATCACCCCTGGGTGGGATCAACCTGCAACTCCTTTTCAGGCAACAAATTCTGCTTCTCTCTTGGCAAAGTAGGTAAATAGGATTTGGGAGGACATGTGGTTCAGATCAGCTCATGGACTTTTTGGAGCGTTTGGACAACTTGACTTGCTGGCCTCACGCCAATGTCGCCTAGGCCAAGCATATGTATGTGATGGAGTTCCGTCCGCAGAGTTTCTCAGACCCGCCAAAGCGCTAACGCCAGCTTCGCTCGCAAGCAATGCAGACAGCGATCATGGGCCATTTCAGCCGTGACCTGGCTGCTTTGGGCCTGGAGCCCAGTCGCCGGATCTCTGCCGTGCTGAGCTTGAAGGAGTTTCTTGGAGAAATTGGCAGCTTCGCGGGGTGCGCGGTTCAGTTCGTTTGAGAGATTCTTTCTCGGACAGGCACCGACGAATAGTGGACGTTTTTTTTTTTTTTTTTCGCGCAGGCCCGCACGAGTCGAGCCGGCGGAGGCACCCGACGTTCCGAACTTTGACGTGAAGCGATGGGAGGACGCGACGGCGGGCAAAGTGGTGCTCGTCCCGAAGCTGTACTGAGCCGACCGAGCACCTACGTGTGTGTTTAGTTGAGGCGTTTCCTGTTTGGGTTTGGTCTAAAGGGACACCAAACGGAATGCCGAAATCCATTTTGGGAGTCCAAATCCCTATGTGGACACATACCCACCTGGCGGCTGTGACCTCACCATGGCTTTTGTGGACGGGTTCAAGCCACAGGCGCCGTTGCAATGGACATTTGAGAAACTTGCGCAGGTGAGGCGAGTCTTGTTCCTTCCGCTCACTCTTTGAAGTGGAGTCCCGGTGCAATCATAACCCAACATTGTGCAATGCGAGAATTGGCGCACTGGGCCAACGATTGCACAATGTTAGTATTCGAACTCAATTCAGGCCCTAAAAGGTCTTGACAAAAAGTACATGAGGCTCGGTCGAAATATGCGATTCTCACTATGGACATAGAACATAGTGAGCCCCCGTGTGTTCGTGGGAAGTTTCGAGCTCGTCCCCCTGTGTCCCTGCCCATTTGGGACCAGAAGCTGGATATTTTGGACCGAGCAACCTGGGAGCTTGGCTCCCGGCACCGGGTTGCTCCGATGTTGTCTATTCAGCAGGGTTGTGGGATCACTCGGGGTTTCTCCCCACTTCTGTGATACAAGGAAATCCCCCTTTATATGAACAAAATAGTCTTTGGGAAGCTCTTTCCATGTATCACAGAAGTGGTCATTCCCCACAGCCCTGTTCATGAGGCGCCGCCAGCGGCTGGCGCACATTGATCTCCTTTCGTAACAATGTGCGGGGCACACGTTTCAATCTTGGGTTTGTCTTAAGACTCGGGGGTTCCCAACATGGCATTTCAGTTTTGTTTCGGTTTGCGCAAGCAAAAAGGGGACCTTCCAAGTAAGACACACCCGTGTTTCATGCAGGATACGCCCCTTTTCCTTCAACCCCCTATTTTCCCCAAAGACCGTAACTTACGGCCCTATTCTGGCCTTACTTGAAGAAGACTTGCGGGAGGGGGGGGTATCCTGTCAGTGTCCCTGCGCGGGGAAGTTGAAGTCTGCGAGCGAAAAGGCAGGGGCACTGCGTCCATCCAAAAATTGCATCGAGCCAGTTGAGCCCATGTACCATGATCAAGAGACCCTTCGGGGTTGGGAGGGATGCTCAACCCCTTGCATGTTGCTTCATTGTTCTTGACGTGTTTTTTAGTTAAATTTTAGTTGTTTGTTAACGGAACCATGGCCCTGGCGAACAGTTTTCGGAGTTGGACACCATTTTAGCGCGGTTCACCGACCCGGAGCCAAAGAAGAGACACCCGCATAGAGGGAGGGGAGGTGACCCAATGTTCAGAAAGCACCGTGAAAGACAACAGGCACCAGAGTGCCAAAGGCAGGCCATTGCCTTAAGTGTGTCCCAACATAGGGACCCCCGTTTCGACAGCGGGTTTCTCTTGAGCCCACCCTGTTTTTCAAAAAAGCGAGCTCCCCATTGAGGAAACACCCTGCTCAAGAGGAGTTAACCCTGTTGTTGGGTGGGCCGAATTGAACCAGTTCCAAACTTGGCTGAATGAACAGCCGTGTGTTTTGCGTGTGTCTTTTTTTGAGGGGGGGGGTTACCCAGTTTGCTTGAGGGCAATTTGAAAGGTTTGGGGTCCATGTCCATTTTTCCCCAGCGACATCTTGCGGTTTCGGCCAATCTTGGATTGCGGCGGCACTGGGGCGGGTTCCGGGACAGTTCTGGGGGGATTGAGCTTTAGTGTGGTTTAGTTCGGGCTGCTGTTAAAAAGGGTAACTCTTCCTGGGCTTGAGACAACCCAACTGGAGCTGAGGACGGAGGAGTTTATCGCTAAGTATGGCGACTGCGAAGAGATGGATTCCGCCGACTTCGACTTCGTCAGCAAGGCTGGGCTTGGATTTGATATTGTTTCACAAGATGCATGTCGGACCCTTTGGTATTTAAAGGAAAAAGCACCAAACCAACGGATTTCAGGGGACCGATTCTTTCTTTGAGATACCTGTGGGCAACTTAGCCATCCTTTCAGGGATCCGAATCTTGCCTCGAGCCCTATTTATGAGAACCCAGATGCGTTCTGCAACTGAAATGTCTGGCTTTGCCGGGTGAACGTCGAACCTTTGGCATCCGATTCATCTTTGCCCTAAACTTTGATGGTCGAACAAATCTAGTCTTGGCCAGAAGGGGATTTTTGCCCCTCCCCCCCCCTGTCATAAATGGGTGAAGGCCGTTTGAAACGCACTTTCGTTTGGTAAATTATCACAGTTTTGTGTGGATGCCTTTGATACCAGATTTAGAGTATGACTCGGATGTATGAGAAGTACTCAACCTAAGCACCAACTGGATCTGGGCAAATAGAATCACGACCTCGCCAGGGCATTTGAGAATGAACCGAACACCAATGGCGAAGATTCCTGTGACAGGGATCTCTCCAACTTTTCGCGTTGGAGAATTATCATATCTTTTCCAGACTGGGTGTATGATACAGCTTATGGATGCAAACTACACAGTCTCTGCCACGAGAATATCTGAAGAAGCAGTAGCGCTCGTGTAGTTCTAGATATGTCCCCACGTAGGCGTCAGCCTTCAAGGTCCTACACATACCCGAAACGAGCATCTGAGCTACAAGCCGTATAGGCTGGGGTTTAGGCTACGCTCTTTGTATAACCCATTGGGTACGACAGACTTTCGGGCGGTATGTCCATTTGGGGAATGCAAGTAGACGGAGGTTTGTTGCCAACATCTGAGAAAGCCCATGGTGAATTTGAGTTGCAAGACATCAAGGGCTCGCTAAGTTTGTCGCAAAGAACTCTCTCATCCATGGCTCATTTAGACGGTTTCCAGGGATCGTCAAAGTCAGAAGCTGATGTTGTTTCCCGTGAATCTAGCGCTTGTGGGCTGACCTTGATGGCCAGATACTGGGACCAGTTTTGAGACACCCCTTTGCAACACGGGGGATCTTTGCCGGGCAAGTGGCCTGGTTTTAGTGATCATTTACACCAAACTCAGGGGGTTATTCCCAACGTTGAGCAAAACCAGGCAGCTCAAATTGGCTTTCTGAAGTTCCGATCCCTATAAGGGCCCCCCGAATGATAGCTGGAGTTTGTTTGTCAGGGAAGCAGCCGATTACCACCATGATGGTGGCAAATGGGGGTTTAGGGCCACCTTTGTCATACACTCAGGAAGTTCCCCTAAAAGCAATAAGGCAGTGAGCAACGGGGCCGGCACGCTTTGACATGTTCCACAGTGCCAGAAAAACAGGTTCCCAGCCTGCCCTTGAAACTTCACACAAAGAACGCTCACAAGAAACTTGGCAAGTAGGTGTCTGTGTCTGTGTGTGTGTGTGTGTGTGTTGGTTTTCGAGGTTACCCTTTAGGGTTACTCATCTTGTTTGGAAAGTTTCGCGATTTTTTGACAAGCCCAAATAGGTGGGAGCGTAAAGGCAGAGCCTTTGGGTTGAGGATCTTTTCCCGAAGAACCTAGGTGTCCTTTCGGAGCGGCTTCCCCTCATTCTGATTGTCAAATACAACTTACCCAGATCTAATCTTACATGGTGTCCGTACAGCCCAGGAAACTCACCGCTACACCATGATTTATCGCCCCCAGGAACATGAAAACCCACCAGAAGGTCCCTTGAAGAGAGCATATGTCCGTCTTTCCTGCCTGAGTGAGTGAAAGAAGATGGTTGCACTATTCTCGTTACTATCGATTTCTGATCAAGACACAATCCAATTATTGATCAAGGGACTCCCACTAAACTGGGGACCCCTGAACAACAAGTGGGGGGTTATTAAGCATAGGTCAACATGATGTCAAGTAAAGAGGACAAAACGGGAAGTCGTGCCATCTGACCGTGGGAGCTCCCGAATCCCCCGCCTTGGGGCTCCACGGGATGTAGGTGGAGCCCTTCCAGCGTGCCCTGACGGAGTGCGAAAAGGCGACGACCTCAAAAGGGAAAAGAACTGAAAAAAATGGGGGACATGCCAACAAACAGGGGGTCCCATTTTGAGAAACTCCCAGCTTTTGAGGGCGTTGTGGGAGGTAGCCCCCCTCCAGTTGGTTTCTCTTCGGGTTCTGAAAAGTATGGACCCCTTGGACCAAGCTGGTTCTGGTTTTTGTGCTTGCGAATGATGTCAGGGGCGCCAATTCATATTCATGTTATGGACATAGGTTGTCACAAGTATGGCCCCCTTTTGGAGATTCCCTTTGAAAGGTGGCAAATGTCAAAGTCCCAAACATGCCCCCTATTGGCAAACTGACCCAAGACACCAGGCTCTGATAAACCTTATAATGTTGCTACATAGTGGCTTCCCCTTATCCAGCGACAGGAAAGCTTACATTAGCACAGAAGGATTCGTGGGTTGGGTTGGGTCCACACCCGACATGGCTGATTCGAAGCTTCCAATCTATTGACCACGTCTTAGAGAATCGTCCTGCTTCTGGCTATTCCACAGGTAAACTTTTTTTTGGAAGGGGGGACCCTATCTCAGCCCCCACCCAACCCCCTCCCCCCTGCGAGGACATCCTCATCACGGGTCGGCGCATGGACCAGGCCGCCCAGCGCATCGCCCTGGATGCCTGGAAAGCCCAGGTAAAAGCGGGGGGGGGGGGGGGGGCGGTTTCTCAAGCGAGCACCGGGGAGTCGTTGAGTCGGTTGTTGCTTTTGAACTTACAGGGGTTTCGTTCGTTTGTTTTGTTCCATAGGGAAACCAGCAAAGAGTGTTTGCCTTTTCGAAGGAAAAGCTACGAAGGACAAATACCAAGGACTTGCCTTTCAAATAGGGTGTCCTTTTTCCATGGAAACAAACTTGCATATCAGGCCCAACTTGAAGGAAAAGAGTTTGTTTTCCAAGGCAACACACAAAGGGCCAGGGCTTACCTGTTTAATAGGGCGTCCATCCTCGGCCGCTTTCTATGTTGTTTTTTCTTTCTTGTGGGTGGGTTTTTTCACTTTGGACCAAGCTCTCGCGTAGCCCAACATTGATACAGATGAGTTCTAGCAAGAATCGCTAAATCAGGTAGATGTACTTGAACATGGACATTGAGCAATCACATTTAGATCTTTACATTTCCTATTGCCTGAAGCCCGGAAAGGGCCTTTCCCCCAACCCAACTGAGATGTTATCCGTGGCCACAGCCTTTTTACCGGGCCAGTTTCGGTCTCCTTGGGGCTTTCGAACATTTTCCTGGAGTTTGCACGAGCATCGACACAAATAGGAGCCCTCCAACGCGGACATCCCCTGAGAGCCTCAAACGCCCAGGTCTGGGAGGAGCAGAAGCGGACTCTGAACCCCATGGCCGGCTTCTCCTGGCAGGAGCCGAATTGAGTCGACCACTCCAGGTGACGCCGGTCCTTTTTTAGACCCGAAATCCAAGAGCGTTTGCTTTGCCCAACCCCTCCCCCCCCCCCACCCCTCTAACCAAGCAACTGCTTTTGGGACGGACCCAAGGAAGGATGGAAAGAGGTCCAAACGTCCCCCCCCCCCCCCCCAAAATGCTACGTGCTAATGGATTCCTCTCATGCCAAGTCTTTCCCAAAAGGGCAAGGCAAAGGACCACCCTCCAAAAGGTTGGTCTCCGTTTGGTTTCCCTACAGCACCCCCAAAGTGGTCTCTGGTTTTGACACATCTCACAGAAGAGAAGTAAGGACCGCTTTTTGCTAGACATTCGAGACAAACCACACAACTCACTGCTCTAGTTGTGGCCTGACTCTAAGTTCATCCTTCTCACTTTGTGCCGAGCCTTCAAGGGACTTCGCATCGTTTTTGTCCACTTGCCTCGTGGCCTGTCAAGCTTTGGGTTGTGGCCACTTGGGCCTGCTCCCCTTCTTTTGCGGGTATCCGGGGGTTGAACGAAGGGAAGGGAATCCCATTCGGTCCGTTTGGTGGGTGCCACATTTTAAGACATGCCAATTTCAGGTGTCATCACGTTGGAACACATGACTTTCAAAGGGAAGAGGTCCATGTGCCGTCTAGTTGTCCGAAAGCTGGGTCAACATTGTGGCTGTGTGTTTCCGGATGGCATATGATATCATGACGCAACAACCATATAATCATGAACACATGTTTCGGAACACACACACACACACACTCTTTCGACACATGCAAATTGCTTGTCTCACATTATCCTGAGGACATCATTGCCTACGTGGACAAGGAGGGCGTTCCGGTCAACAGTCCGGGGCCTCATTCGTTTTCAAACTCGAAATGTAGGACCTGGATTGTCCAGGGGGTCCAATTTTGGATCACGGAACCTGTGGCCGTTTGCGGCTTTTCTACTCCCTATTTGAGCTTACCTTAAGGGTTTTGGCGGTGAAACAAAATACTGATGAGTGGGTTCCTGAGATCGGGCGGCTTAGAATTCAACTAACGCTCTGCGGGTGCAAAATGTGTGGATCGCCGCATCAGGTTTCGGGCCAGTGCCCCGGCAAACACACACACATGAGATTGATGGGGTAAGCAACTCTTAATTAATTCAGGGATCAACCAGCCCCAACCTAGCCTGAAGTGACATGCTCTGGAGTTTAGTGTGGGTCTGTGGGGAAAGTCTGTTTGTATGCTTCGAGCTGCCCGTTTAAGCGTGCAGTTTCATACCGCTGCCGGTGTCAAGCTACTTCGTACCAAATGGAACACTCGAGTCTAAGACGGAGAGACGCGTTGCTAGGCTGTTCCGTCCATCAACTCGCTGGGTTGGCACTTAGAAATGAAACCCTTAACCAACACCAATGGGTTCTGCTTCTGGGTCCCTTCCGCTTTCCTTAAATAGGTGCGCCCGAAAGTATGGTTACCTAGATGGTTAAATACATGGTTGGTTAACTCCTACAAAGACTCCCTAAAGAGGCTTGGTGACTCCCTGCATTGCTACATGGCTTCAACGGTGGCTGAGCCCAAAAAAGGGGACACGCGCCCACCGACCTCGCCGACCGAGGCGGCCACAACTGGGCCTTCCGCTGCGACGCCCCCATCGAGGCCACCAGCCGACACCTCCCTGACCTGCCCTGGACCAAGGCGCGGCAGTGGGTTGGTGGGTGGGGCAAGAGAGGAGCGGAGAGGCAGAATTTCTCAGAGACTTCTCAGGGAACAACCTTGCGGTTTTGGGAAGCCGTTTTGGGATCCAAAGGAAACTGCTTGTGGATGGTTCTGGGTTGCTGCGAGTCTCTAAAACGATTGGCAAACATTTGGCGAGCGGCAAGAGGTGGGGAGTGTTGTGCGCTCCTCCCCCTTGGAGCCTGTGCATCCGTGTAGCAGGTATGGTGGGGGTTGGATTCGACAATGTATTGCGGGTTCCCCCATACCCCTCTTCCCCCCCCATTTTGCAAATCATTTGGAGACACGTGAGCACGGCCGACGGTCGGAGTGGCGAAAGAAAGTGGTTGAATCTGCCTGGCTGCGATCACATGGACCAGCCCGAGTTTTGTTCCTAACCCACATTGACATGTGCCGTTCAAAAAGCCGCCTGGGCTGTGCTGATACCCTTTGCCACAAGCCGCTCCAGCGCACATTTGACCTCTGGGGAGTCGTGATCCAAAAAAGCTGAGGGGTCCAGAGATTTGCCAACCCTTTGTTTAACATGTTGAAACAACAGCTTCTGTGTTGTTTCAACAACCTTATTTGGGTTCCATGGTTTCCCCTAAAAGAGGACCAGGGCTGGTTGTTTGCGCATTCTTTTGCCCCGGCCACGCTTCCTCGTTTGTTTTTTCGTTGGCTCGCCAGGTGGACCTGGGCAAGCCCTTTTGGCAGGCCTCTGAGGCCACGAGTCAAATCGCTCCGAGCCGCCAACGATCGGGGGGTAAAAGCCCCCGGTGGTTTTGCCAAGGTGTTTTGGGGCACTGGCCAGGGTTCCCTTAATCCTTATTTCCAGTTGGAATTGTTGCTTGCCCAGATAGCGAGCGCGATCGATGGTTGGGCCATGGAAACTGGGGCCGACTTAAAGGGAAACAAAAAGAGCTACCCCCCTGCAACTATGGAGTCTGAGGGAAGGGTCTCATTGTCTTCTCCGGGTTCCACGCCGCGGAAGGGAAGGTAACCCTTTGGAGAGGTTCCCTGCACTTGACATGCCGAGAGGTGCCTAGAAGACTAGTGGAACCGGGGCACCCAGCCGTACGGTGAACACTTAAAGTCTGCTTTGCTACCTGTTGGTTGCTCACTCTTGACTGCAAACTAGGCTCTATGTGTCCATGGCACTGTTCACACCCCACACCAGATTGCATATCAATTGGGACGGCCAAGCACATCCGACTGCACATTCGACGCCATGATCCCTTTTTCTCAGGCAGAGATCAAGGGCTCGCCGCCGGCAGCACGGCGCCTCAAGGGCGAGAAGAAAATGTCCAATTGATATCAGATATCATGAGCAGCACTCATTTAATCCAAGTTTCCAGTAGTCTATGGTCAATTGGGAGCGACATGGGGGCCCCACTGAACAGTGTTCCCAGAAACAAATACAGGGGACTCCTCATTTCCCATGTGATACAGGACATAGCACAGTTTGACCGTGGTTAACATGGTCAAAGAGGAGTTCGACACTTCCCTTCACGTCACATCAGGTTATCTTGAGACCGCACCCGATGACGCCTCTATGCAAAAGATCCTGTGTTTACCCCCAAAGAAGGGGCGGGGGTGAAATCCTTTGTTGCTCTTTGGTTCGACCGAAGTGATCTTGTGTCCTTTCTCACCAGCCACCTTACTGTTTTACAGGCAAGTTGGAACCCAGAAATGTTCAGTCTGTGGTCGATGTTGGGTTTGAGTCAAGGTGGACTCATTAGGTTTTTTAGGCATTTCGAGTTTCAACCCCGCGGAACATGATGACTTCGTTACTTCGCAGCAAGACGTGTTGCTTTTTGCTGGGGTTCAGCTGGACGGCTGGACCCCAGACATACCCCGGTTGCCTGTGACTTTTGGCTAGGGGTCAGTTGGCTGAGGCCTGACTTGGACAAACCCACGAAGTCCCCCCCCCCGCCGAGTGTTTCTTAAGGCGGTGACCTATGTCTACAAGTCCTTCGGTGCGGCGCTCGGATCGCACGTGGACTTGTGCTATATTAGCGATTGTGATTTGGATAACTACCTAAAATATTTTATATATAGGAAGCACCCAAATGAGGTCTGGAAAACCCCTTGCCATGGAAGATGCTCTCCTGCAGATCAACATGGAACCAGCAAACAATAGCCATGGGACAATTCTCTCGTTGGGAAAGGACCCGTTGTGGGTTCCATCTTAATTTGCAGGGGAGTACCCCCCCCTCCCTCGCCGACCAAACCACAAGGGATGGTAGTACAGCCGCCAAAAGCACATATAGTCTGGGTTACCATACCCGATAGAGCGACACTAGGGCGTTTCTAACAGATGTCATTGGTTTCGTCAGGCTGATGAAGATCGAGGTCAGTTTGATGGTTGACTGGGTTGGTTTAGGCCTCTTGATGGTTTTGGTGGCACATCGACTTGATAGTTGGCTCCCATCCGATATTTTTCTTCTCAAAAAGCAAGCATATGGGCCACTTGGGTTCGCCCTCAAATAGGACTCCTCAAAAGGTTGGCTTGCTTTTAGTGCCCTTTCAGCCTCAGCACCATCGAAAGGAGGTCCACCATCCAATGAGGGCCTTTCAATATGTTTGTTTTGCCTGTGGGAGGCATGCCGAACTTGTCTCCATTGAAGAGGGAGCAAAAGGACCCGTGCGGGTGTGGTTTGGCATTTGAGGTGCCCAGTTTTTTCGCGAGAGGAGAAGGGGTGTATGCACCCCTGCCGTGCCAGGCGACATGCACACCACAGTGCCTGCCAAACCTGGCATGCTTCAGGGAGAGGGGAGCGGGGAGTTCCGCTGTTTCTTGCTTCATTTGCAGCCCATAAATTTTGTGGTTTGGGGGAAGTCCGTTCCTGCTCGATCACTAGGGAAGTCGCGACCGCTCCCAGTCCTTCCAGTTGTCATGTCTACGGCTGCTGCATAGTGTACAGTGTACAGGGCCGGCATACATGATGATTACGTAAGGTAATTATGCGCCTCAGGGTTTTTCGAAAGACTAAAACATCTCCTCCACAAAACAGCAAAACAACACGTAAAATAAATACATAAAACAAATAAACAAAAACCACAAACACAAAACACAAGCAAACCCGTCAAAAGCGACGACTGCGGGTCCTACTCACCGTTCGCCAGGTGGAGCCCCACGAGAGCGAGCGCGCGGGCCGCTTCGTGCGCCAGGCCAAGACCGAGTGCGGCACGGGGCCCCGGCGTTGGGTCGGTGAAGGGAAGCCTCTGGAGGTTCACCTCAACTCGATGCGGGGTGTACGTTTTTTCTCTGGAAAAAACGACTTTGTCACCATATGTATACCCCTTTGCCATCCATTTCCCCAGAATACACAGGGATTTCATGGAACACAGAAGCCTGGCATTTGTTTCACGTTCATTTAGATCGAGCATTGCAGTGACTCATGTTGGACTTTTTAAGGGTATGCCAGCTTTCAAAGGTGCTTGCTGTTTGGGTGGGAAATGGGCAAGGTCTCAAAGGCGCCTGAAAGGGGTGGAGTTTCCTTTGGTTTCCCTTTAAACCAACCCCAAAAGGGCACCGAGCCTCAAACAATTGACACCCCATATGGATTGTTGTTTGTTGCTGCTACTTTTTGTTATCACCGTTTTTTGTGGGTTCTCTAAAAAGGACAAACCCAAATCCCAACTATGGAAATCGTGGCTCTTTAAAATGGCACCGGTTTCATTTCCCTGTTAAAAGCACCCTAAACAGGGTCCACCATTGCGAGAATCCTCCAAGTGGGCTGGGTTTTGGACATAGGGCCGCGCTCCATACGAGATTTGTGCGCTCGCGCAAGCAAGCCGAGGCATCCACACTCGCACCACCTCGGCGGGTGCCCCGCATGGTGGATCCCTGGTCGACCTGATGGTCAAGGCAGAGGGGAGGGAATGTTTGTTGCCTTAAACCCCCCGAGTGATCCAACCTTCAAAGAACCCCACGTGGGTAGATTGGCGCTTGGATCTAAGGATGGACAGGCCGACGGACATCCGAACCATTTAAAACTAGTCTCAGAAATGTTGTTCTTTGTGCTTCCCTCTGGCTAAATGACTAAGTGGCTAACAGGGAGAGGGGTTGAGTTTGACCCTTGGAGACTCTCGTAAACCCATTTTGGTTGGGAGAGGACCCACCGGCTCGGCGGGAGAGCGCGGGAGCAAAACGGCTGGAGATCTTCATGTTTGAGTTCCATTTGAGTTTGGCGGCTTGTCTCATGGGTGGTTTCCCTGAAAGGCTACCCTCAAGAATTCACCTTCCCCTAAGATATGTCATTACGTTTGAAGATTCGCATGTCCAGATTGTCTCTTGCCTCCTAGATGCAGAGAAGAGGCGAACTCGAAGACTGAACAGAAGAAACCCATGAAGCGCCATCCATTTTTTCAGAAATAGAGTCTCCTGGGGAAAGGACCCCTGTTGTTGATTCCATGTTTGCACAAGGGAGGAGTTGGGTGTTTGTGGTCGCCAAGTTAGTGCCCTCTCTTCGAGGACAACAACTTGTGGGTGGCCAAGGTTACGTACCCGCTACGAACTTGACCGCGCACCCCAAGGAATAACCATTTGAGCCGAACACATCTGCCAGGTTCACGCTGCCATGTGTAATTCACCTCCAGATGGTTGGAAGTCCACGGTTCAACATCCTTGTTGAGCTGCCTTTTCAGCCGCCTTTTGAGCAAAAAGGAACACTTAATGTTCAATTTACTTGCTACCCGTAGTAGCTCGTTTTTAGAGCAACCAGCTGTCAACTATTTGCAACACTGGTTGTAACCTCTTTGTAAAGGCCACTCCAAACCCTACTCATAGACATTTTTACGTGTATCTCCAAATCTCAAAGCCCTTCAACCCAGGAAGGGTTCCTGAAGGGCGCAGCCTTTCGGATGGCTTGAGGAATCCACCATGTGCGGCAGGCTCTTTGGGACGCCTGCGGGGTCCGACCGATCTTTGGTCTTCAGGACCCGGCGGATGCCAAGAAGTTGGTGGCGAGCGCGGCCAAGACCATCGAGCTGAACGAGCGCCAGGCCAATCCCAGGGAGAGCGCAGGGTGAGGCGCGCAATCAAAACCCGGATTAATGTGGAACCCAAAAGGGCGGGGGTCCTCCTCAAGTTGTGATTTTTGGGTTCCATGCCAATCTGTGGGGGGGTAAGGCCAGAAAAGGATGGTCCAAACAATCAATAGGCGTAGCCGCGCGTTTCATTATTTGGATGGACCATTTCAAGGCCATATGCGACGGTCAAGAAGGGAATTCAAAGGGGTACCAATCATTTGGGGGGTTACCTCATGGAGAGACGCAGCACACCTAGGTTTCCGGCCAGAACAAGTGTCTTTGTGTCAAATTGCCACGTGGTTGGTTGGCAGACGAACGTTTCTGGGCCGCCAATTTAATGAGTTGTTCACTTTAAACCTATTTGGGCTGACCTTCATGATACAGTAATGGGGAGATCACTGACACTGGATTTCCTTTTCTCTTGCGCAAAACGTTGACCCAAACCTTGACACATGTGTTCTGCCTTGACAAGCCTATGAAAGACAACCTTTCTTGAGTTTTCCATTATCCGTTGGCCTTGCCACGCCTCGGAAAGGGAAAGTGCTCTCTAATTGGTTAGTTCAGTAGAAGAGGACTAATTACACACATTATTGTCCTCTTTACCCTTGAGGACATATCTGAATTGAATTGGCTCAGGGTTGGACTTTCACCAAGTTATAGTACACCTTTTTAGAGAATCCACCCCGTGGCACCCGCAAACAGAACAGAGGCCTGCGACGTGTTCTGCCTGCTGAGCGGCGCCTTCAGCCCCCTCACCGGTTTCATGGCGCGAGCCTCAGGGGATCGAGGGACTGGGATGGTGTCTCCCTCTTGGGCGTGGATCCATGCGTCGTGGGAGACTCGTGTGTATTCCCAAGGCGGAGCGTGCAGCTTCAGTCATATTACCTGTGGGCGGCTTCTCCAGCATTATCACGAAGCTGCCAACCCCTGTGTTCTTCCCACGAGAAGTACACAAGGGCGTGTGGCGGAGAAGGTCCTTTGGAAGTGCGTGTTTGGCCAGCATCTGCAACTTGGGGTTCGGCAAAATGTTCCTGAAGGGTCGGCTTCCTGAAGGGTTGGCATGAGGCCTAGGAGTTTCCCATTTTTCGGGTCGTCGTACGGGATCTGTTGGCGGGGTGATGCCAGAAGGGGACCTTCGAGGAACCCCGTCTCGAAATCTAAACCAACCAGAATAGGGGAACACCAAAGTTTGATCCACAACAAAAACCCTCCGACAAAAACATGGGTAGACTGTTTGAATACCATTGATTCTGCTGATGACTCAGCTGGGCTTGTCCCTCCCCCAGAGTGGGTGTTGCCCTTTTGTCCCTCGAATTCTCCCCCTCCCCCCCAAGAAAAAAGGTCCCTGGCTCTTTCTGGCGCCCACACATGTGAGCCGAAGTCAGGACCTGGGTAATTGGAGGTTGGCAGGGGCCCATTCCCAGCCGACAAAGGTGGCCGCGCTGTGCGACTCATGTGAAGTTTGACGTTATTGAAATACGTAAGTAAGGGTCTATACTGTACCCAACATGTGCCGTGCTGCCCAAAGCTGTGCAAGTGGAATGAGAAACAGGGGGGGAGGCCAATGACAGACTGGATTTGCGGTACAGAAATGCCTCATTGGAACCCAGTTGATTTGAAAACCTCCGGTTGATTCATACGGGGGTGTCCCAGGACGGGAAGCCTTCACTTTTGGCAACACCCCACCGGATTTGCTAGGTTGATGAATCCGGGGTTGGCATTCTTTCGACCACTTCCCGGGCGGGAGCTCTGCCGCTTGCTTTGCATCCAGGATGAGACCACCTACGACTCCGTGGTGAAGGCAGGGAGGGGCCGAAGAGTATTCGACAGAACCTATCTAACCTTGATATGAGGGTTACATACCCCATGATCCCTTGGGTCGTTTGGGGGTAGTTGGACACCATCTTGGAGTTTCGAGGAGCTTCGCCCTTGTCCCAAGCCCCTCCCTCTGACATTTGGTGATCGCTGAGTCGACAATTTGTCACGGCCCCTCCAAGAGGCCTTTAGTTGGTTGTTCTTCGCGCTGGCTACGGTGGATGTACATATTTCAAGTGGGGGGAACCAGGGAAACCCTGAACTGTATTGCAATTTAGAGTTCGGGTGTTCAATGTAGTGGGTCCACAATCCAGTGGTGCTGATTGCTCTACTCCCGAGCGATGCTCCATCAGCCTTGTCAATCCCAAGCAACTGCCAGTTTGTTATGCAATGTGCCATCGTCAAAACTCAAAGTACCTCGTTGCTTCTCTTAGGGATAGTTACTGCCTCAGGGCACGTGGACAAGTATTGTGCGACTTTCGATTGAGAGAGTGATCGCCAATTCCAGGGCTGTTTTTATCCCCCACACGCACACGCACGTGTCGACCCGTTGGGCTCCAAATGTTCCCCTTCATTGCCGACCACTTTGGGTCAACGGCAGGATGTATCTATCCATGCCCCTAGTGTAAACTGTTTTTGATTGACCAATCATGGCCCCGCTATGTCGAACTGGTTGCCAGCAAAGGAGCACAACCTACGTTCCCGTAGATTTGAGATAAGAGTAGAATGCGGTTCCTTTCATAGGGATGTGTTTCGAGGGTTGAATTATTGTGCTTTCGTTTAAGAAACACTGCAGTCATCTACTACCATGGCAAAAGCCAAGTGGCACACACACACACACACCATGTAAACTTCAATGTGGGTCGGTGAATTATGAGAATTCACCCTGTTCATTGCTAGAATTCACCCTTTGATTGGGTCATCGGGCTCAGCTTTTCCAAAGATTACTTGACTTTCTTTCAGGCCTCTGGATTGAGGCCAGCAGACCCGATCACTGGTCGTCTATATTGTTGGTTTGAGGAGGGCACGTGGGCACGCCCAAGCATTCCACAAATATCACAGGGCCTACTTAATGTCTCATATCTTCTTGGGGAAACAAGCAGTTTGTTCGGATCGACCCCTCAAGGGTTCCTGTGATGCCCACTATTTTGGGTCCTTTTGAACCCATGAAGATTCATACCCATGTGAGCAACCCCGAACCTGTTGCACGTGCCCACACCGCAGGCCATGCGTCTGCCGGAGAAGCAGCTCTTCGGACTGCCGGTGATCTTCGACATGCCCCAGGCGCCGGCCTTGGACCCGAAACAGCTCCTTGTTTGGGTGAAACCCTTTGCAGCCTTGAGGGTAGCAACAAGAAATACACCTCCTTTTGGGTGTGGGTCTTTTTGAGGCGCGGTTCCCTTGTTGGGGTAAGGGAAACCAGAGAAGAAACACAGGCAGTTTGGAGGTAAGGTTCAGTCCGAGGCCGAGACCCGTTTCTCGCTGTGTTGGTCACGGTCCCTTTGTTAGTCCCCCCCAAGCCGAAATGGACGGCCAACGGGCTTCTGGTCTCGTACATCCAATGAGCTTCCTCCACTGGCTACATTCTGCAGAATTCGTTTGTTTGAAAACAACCATTTTGGGTTCCCATGTTGGGAGGCATGAGTTCCGTGTCAAAGAATTGTCCCTGGTCGAAAGGTTTGCAGGGAGCTCATTGGGGCAACCAAGGGACACAACTTCTCAGTTGCAGCGACTCCACCTGAAGTCCTCTGAACACATAATGAGATGAACAATGATCTGAACTGGTTTTCCCATCTCGTCATCAAATTTTAAAGGTCCCCGAAGGTGAGCCCGGTTGCAAGTGAGAAGATGAAACCTGGTTGCTGGAAGTTAAGGATGAATTTTCAAAAGAATTTCTGACAGGAGCGATTCCTTGGCCATGTGCACCATGGCTATGGCCTTCAAATGTTTGATCACGTCTCCCTTGTGCCGCGCTCATGTCAGCTGCTTCCTTTTGTATCGCCAAAACTAGTCATGGCGAGGGGAAATTCCACTTTGATATCATAGTCAGAAGCTACCATTTTTCGCAACCTTAGGATTGGGTCCATTCTCTAAACATTGCAAGCAATCTAAACGTTGCAAGCATTCCAACCAGAGGTTGCTTGCTGCTTCTCAGGGAATGCAGAAACGACTTGCCCCATAGACCATCCCTGGTATGTTTCTTTCCTATTCCTCCTTTGTTTCTTTGTCGTTCCCAAACAAGGTGAATTCCTGCAAACCAGCGAGTTTTCCTGCCCTGAGAGATGCCCCTGGCCAGGTGGACGGCCTCAAGACGGGTGATAAGCTGTGGGGGCGCCCAAAGGGCAAGTCATCTGAGCGTTGGCGCTTGCCCTTCCACCAATTGCTACTACCACCAAGATCTGCACCAGAAGCTGTTTCGCTTAGGCTCACGCCAAAAGCTGCTTAACAACCCCTACGCCCTCCTACTCACTGACGAAGCGCTTGCGTCAGTGGTTGGGCATCGGTCACCCGCTTGAGCGCCATCCATTTTCGGGGCTAGTCCATTCGGCAGGTGAGTTGTTACACACTCCTTAGCGGGTTTCGACTTCCATGACCACCGTCCTGCTGTCAAAATGAACCAACACCCTTTGTGGTATCTGATGAGCGTGCAGTTAAGCACCTTAGCCCAACGTTAGGTTCATCCCTCATCGCCAGTTCTGCTTACCAAAAACGGCCCACTTAGAGTTGGCATTTATCCCAGAAGTTCAACGAAGCAACCACTGTGGATCTTGCCCATTTAAAGTTTGAGAATAGGTCGAAGACAACGCATCCCCGATTCCTCTAATCATTCGCTTTGCCTGACAATTTTTCGGGGTTCTGTGTTGAGCCGGTGAATCTGCTGACTTGATTTGGGGAGGTCATAGATAGGTCTCGAAATTGGGAGGCCCAAAAGAATCAAGCACTTTGAACGCCTGAATGGGGTTGGTGCCCTTTGCGTGGGAACAACAACAACCTAGCTTAGAATGCTCAGTGCGATTGGCGGACATAAATCCAACCAGACATCCACCAACGAGCACAACAAAATAGAATCCTTGTCCATCTCCTTGCATTTGCTTTTCCTGGGGAACTCTGGCCTTTGAATTTCCCCATCCGAGACTTTGGCAGCTCCGTTTTGATTTGCTAGCTCTTCCGAAGATTCACATGACCCCATCAAAAAGACACACTCGTCATGAAGCCATACAGGGGTCTGCTGAAAGGCGAGCCCTGACAATGGAGCAATGGACGAATCGACCGGAGCCCTTGGATCGGTCAGAAATCCAGCATCACCCTTTGGTCCCTCTCGTGAGCTTCCTTAGCTCTAGGGGTGATTCAAGGAGAAATATGGCCATGAGTTTTAATGGACCCCCCCCACTCAGTGGACAGGAAGCCCCACCGAACTCTGATGTCCACCAAACCCAAGTCAAGATTCAGACCCATAGTTTGAGGCCTGTTTCGAGCAAGACCGAAAAGTCCGGGGAGCAGGTTGCTGAAGTGGAAGGGCGAGGACGTGGCCGTGCTCGAGGCTCTTTTCTTTTGGTGGGGGGATGTGCCTTTCGCGATGTGTGCGTGTTTTTTGAGGGCTCCAAATGTTGCAAGTAGGGGCCTGCAGATCCACACGGGGCCCAATAGCCCCATTTGTGGATCCAATCTGACCGAAGAGCGTCCATTACAACGCCCTTTTGTTGCTACACCCGTGGCAATGCAGCTGCAGTCCAGCTATCATGTCAGGCATGTCGACCCCTTGTGAATACCCCATACCCCATCAGTTATTGATCATGGGCATTGCCCCACCCAATCTCTCCACGAAAAACGCATCAAACAATTGAATATGTTTCAAGGCTCAAGATGCAAGGTTTGACATACCCGAGCCACGTTTTTTTCCTTGGGAAGCTCCGTTTTCCGCGGTTATGTTGGAAGCCCCCATTGGAGTCCCCATCTCAATTCTGAGCCAGGCTTCCTCCATCTGGGAGCCGAACAAGGCGCGGCCGTTACGTCTGCATTGCTTGCGGGGTGATTGTATTCCCAGCTCAAGGCTCTTTCCAGGTATGGTTCTTGGAGATTGGTGCTTATGGCTTATATGAATACCAATAGCTTGAAAGGCAGTTTCTATACCCCTTATATCATACAAGTGGTATCTCTCACCTCCATACCTCCGAAGCCCAGCAAATTGGAAACCCCAACAACAAGAACAAAGCTTACCCATTCATACCCCCCCCCCCCCAAACGTAGGTTCCATGCCTCCAAACCTCCCCTAAAATCGGTTCTGACTCGATCCGCCCGGCCGCAGGTGGTGGAGGCTAAGGAGTGCTACGGCACCTCCAGCGGGGGCCCTTAGACGACCCGGAGCTGGCAACGCGCTCGTCAGGTCATCGTGGCCTCCGAGCCATTTGAAATTTGGGTGTTTCAAGACCAACCCATGTTGGGCAGAGCTTTGAACTGTTGGTGAAATACGTTGGTGGCAAGCGTGTCCTTTAAGGTCCCAAAGCGGCCAGTGGTTATCCTTACGGTGCAACAATGAACAGGTGGGGCATCCTTGTCCCTAGCTGATAAAGGATTATCAAAAACCTGTTTTGGGTGAACATGATATTCCATTTGTTTTTGTTGAGGGCAGAGATTGCACCTCGCCTTTTTTTGGCGTGGCTTGTCCCGACATGTCAGGTTTCAGCCGAGCCCTCCAAAGGCTCCCAGTTTCTTGGGGCCCCAAGAAACAGCCCGAGTTGCGTCTCGCCAATGGAACCTCACTTGACGTGTTTCGAAGAAGGGCTGCCCGGGACGACCCGTCCAATGACTTGTGGGCCATGCAGGCTCCAGGTGTTGATTTGCAGGTGTACTGTGCTTGTTTTTGCCAGCGGACCAGAAACCGCGCTCAACGGCGTGCACTTTTTTCCTGCAACCCTGCATAGCACGCCCGCACCACTGCTTCGCCCTGGCACGGCGCGCACGCCTGACCATGATAACCGCACCCTCTCGACTGCTTCGTTATAGCAGGCCTGACCAAAGATGCTTTTTGCGGACGCGAAACGGTCGTCTGCCACACTGGCGCGATAGACTCTACCTTCTCAAGCTGCAAAGCATATCCCAAATTCGCTGCCTTCGTGCAGCCCGCATCTCCTCTTGTATGTAAAGTCTTGGCAGTGGCGCTATGTCTTGCGCCAGCGAGATGTGGAGCAGCAAGCTGTTGTAGCGATCGCAAGGATTTCGAAAAGGAGAAGGCAGGGAATGTGCGATACAGTTTGCGTTTCGCCTCAGCGAAACGCAAAACGCCTCTAAAACTGAGCCCTCTTTTTGGGAGGTTTTTGGGGGGCTCAATGTGCGTTTCGCTTAGGTGAAATGCAAAGTTTTTCAGAAAAGCGGCAAAACGCCAGCGCGTAATTCGGTCCGCGGGGTTGTTTTTGCGTGTGTTTAGTCAGCTGGTTAGCTAATTAGTTGCCCATTAGCTGTCAGCTGGTTAGCGAGTTTGCCCATTAGCTAGTTGCTTAGTGAGGTTGATAGGCAGTGGCCAACCAGTTTGTTTGCCTTGTCCTGTTCAGCTCCATTATGTTCGCTATGATTTATGTTTGCATATGTTGCTTTGATCGGTGTGATTATTTTCGTTGATTCGTGCTATTTGGTTGATGTTGCTTGCTTTTATAGCGGTGCGAGTGTGCTGATTGCTTGGGCTTGTGAATGGGCTGGTGTTTGGTTTGGTTTTGTTGGATTGGTTGGGTTCCGTTTGGTTTGGCGGGTGACCTTCCCGTTTCGGGTGCAGCGCAGAGCTCTTATACCAGGCCTGGAGCACCCCACGGTCGCTGGGCTGGTGCAGGAAATCGGCGCGGGGCCACAGAGGGGACGCCTCCCCTACACCCCAAATATGAGTTGGTAGGGAAGCCAGAGGGAATATCGAAATCAATTTTGGGGTCCCCTTAGAGAAACAAACCATACAATAGGTCTCCAACTCTAGTTCCTGTTGAAGCTTTTGGTGGTTTTAAACATTACCTGTTGGAAATGCCACTTTGAAGCGACCCCCAAGTGGTTGTTTCCTTTTGGTTTCTCTTGACAACAACGCAGAAGCGGGTTCGGCATTTTGAGGCACCCCCCTCCCGGGTAGCGTGAGCTGGGACCAGCAATCCACTTAGAAAATGAGAAAGATACAGGCCCAGGTTCCAGGCATTTTGCCATAGGGTTTCCGCATGGACATGATGGCAAAACTGCAAAACACTGGAAGCAGTGCTACTGTGGGCATGTGTTTCTTTGAGGGTACCCACTTTTGCCTGGTTTCAATAAGAAACCAAACAAAAGGAAGCCAGCCATTTTTTGGGTACTTTCAGAGAATCCCTTGTGGGCTGGGCGCTTCTTCCAAACAGAGAATCGGAATTTCTTTTGAACGTCCAAGCCAGTCATATCTCACGAAACATGAGTTCTAGAAGACAAGGGTTAGTAGGTTATCGAACGAAAGGGCAGGTCACCTTTTTGGGACCCTTGCGTGCCCTTGGATTCTTTCTGGCTGCCAACAGCCTCAACCTTCGCCTGGACAAAAAGGCTATAATGGTTAGTGGGCAACCCGATGACATCCAGGTCGGAATAGAGATGGGTCGGCCTTCCGAAACTATTTTCGGGTTTCTCACTCCAAGGCTTGCTCGTTGCGATTGCCACCGCAACCCACTTGGGATTCTGCCAGGGGTGGATTCCAAATTCTTTGCGTTCTTGTTCAGAAGCTAGCTGTTGAAGCACCGGGTTTTTATTTTTTTCCGGAAGAAGGATCTTTGTAAACAAAGGAGAAATTCCCTACCAGGGATTTCTGGGGTGCCCACCTGCGAGGCAAGTTCTACGTGGGCGGCAGGCCTCGGGCGGGTCTTTTTTGTTGTTGCTCTCTTCTTCTTTTTGAGGAAGGTTCCTGACTTTTGGATTCCTGAATTCAGGATCGTGAAGTATGACTAGTGCATAAGGTTTTGAATGATGCTTGGCTGAGTGATATTTTCCCAGAGCCTCACGTGCATTCTCCAAGCGTTGATGATTCCAATATGTAACCACTGTTAACTTAATCAAGAGAACCATATCAATCAGAGATGGTTCCTCTTGAAGGGAGGAACTCGTCGGGGGATCCTTTGACGAATGTGGCCGTCGGGAGAAGGTCCGGCACGCAATGAGCGCCAACATGTCCAGTTCATTTTGGAGGGACATGGGGGACTTGGACAACATCTCAAAACCACGACGAGACTCAGTATAGTCGGCACACCCTCCCCATGTAGGTTGCTTCATCCTTTTAATGGAAATATACTATACTTTCACCCTGGTGTAGTTTCCAGGTCCACCAGGGTAACAGCATTGTTTGAAACCCGTTCATATGTTTCCAGATGACTTGCACACACACACACAATCCACACACACACACAGTTCCGAGAAAACAAAGGGACCAGCCCAAATATCACCTGTCTCTTAGTTGTGCAGCATATTCTGAGCGTATTGACACTGTTTGGAGCCATCAGAGGGTACGCCAGTAGTACATGAGCCATCAACAGTTTCATCGGCAGTCCAAACCACAAGTGTGGCTTCCCGTCCATTTGGCCCTTGAACCTCCCGAATTCATCTCAGGTTGACGCATGTACCGGTTGAGCTTGTAGGATCCACGGCCTTCAGCTGCCCAAGTTCGGCTACACCACTCAGACCCCGGCGGAGGCACCGGAGCCGTTGCGTTCGTTCGGCGCAAGCGGAACAGGATTCGTAAGCCTATGATGGAACCTGCCGGGTCCCAAGAACACCCTTTTCCTCTTGAAGGGACTTTCTGGTGGGTTTAGCTTGGGTGGGGAGTACTGTGGGGTACAACCCATTTTCAGGGCTCTATGTCACTTTATGGATAAGACAAACGCACCCACACACAGAGTTCGCACATGCTGATTACTGATCTGTGTGCCTAGGCTTACACTCATGAACCTGCAAGCAACCTGTCAAAAGCCTTGGTAGCTAGACTTGGAAGGGCAATGGGAATGAAGCCAGCCATTCCCTTTAAAAAGCCACCAAGAACAGACAAGTTGTCTCACATCACCAATTTGCTGGTCAGAAGGCTGCCCTTTCTGTCATGGCCCATTTTCCAATTGCTGGCATTTGAACCATGGTCCAATGATCCTGTCTGTGACCATAAAGGGAATCCACCGTTTGCACCTGGCAACCTTTTGGATAGATTTCTGATAAAAGACCAGGGTGGCGCACATCCAGGTAGCCCTTCTACCCCGCAAAGCCCTGAAGTCTCCTTGTGCTACGATTCTTTCCCAGCTCTTCAAAGAGGTGGATTTTGTCAAAGTCACTCCAGTTGAGATTGGTGGTTTGTCACTGTTCTTGGGGCATGCATCTCAGTTTTGTCAGTTGTTTGGTTCATGTTTACCGGGCACAAGACAGGCACGTGTCTTGATCGTGCGGGCTGGAAAACGGGCCCCGGTTTGTCGCTTACTGGTTGGTATTTCTGCGGCTTCCCGACCAAACGGTCGGTCAGGTGCGCGCCACGCTGCCGGAGAACAAGCAGGTGGCCCGAGGGCCCAGACTCGGCACTGGAGCCGGGGGAGCCGGGGGCATGCTGGGGGAGCCGGGAGTCTTTGGGCTGAGTTTCTGTGAGGTGACAGGGTTTGTTCAATAAACCGCATTCGTTTTGCGAATTAAACAACCCAATGTTAATTGTATCTAAAGATCAACCCGAAACGTGGCAAATGATTTGTATTTAAATGACAAACACAAAGCACATCAACACGGATGTGCTCTTTTTGAGAAAATGCTGCAAAGGCTTGGGAAGTTGCACCCTTTCTTTCTGTTCCACTGGGGGCTACAAGCTCAGAGCAGTGGCTGGAATGTAACAGAAAAAAAGACATTGGTGATCATGGGCGTACACGTCGCTATTATTTGTGGGTACCCTTGTTTGGTTGTTTGAAAGGCAACCCAACAGGAAATCGACCATCTTTGGGGAGCCCACAGGTGATCTCTCCATGCAAACGTGAATTAGTTTCATGCATGGCTTTCATATGCATACCGCATACCTGCTTTGCAGGCAGAGGTTGCTGCGCTTTGCCTCGATTTGGGGTAGGATCTTTCCAGAGATTGCCGGGGCCTGGGATGTTGAACAGGCACCCTGGCCCCAAATTGAATTAGTTCCACTTCAATCTTTTGAACCCTCAGAACCCCCCCTTTTTGGCTGAGGTTGCCTTCCAGAACCGCAACCCCATCCACCGGGCTCACTTCGAGCTGTTGATTTGCGCGCGGCGGCCCGAACCGGTTGGGCCGGAGACCGCCATGGAGATGAGAGGGCGCAAGCGCGTGATGTCGATCTCAGTGGGTCATGAATGGGCGACGATGAATCTCAATGGGGCACACTCGCAAAACGGTTGGCAAACACAATGGGTGTGTCCTTTGCGATGGTGCCCTGTTTGGGATGGTTTTGGAGGGAAAACATCCACATGACATTCAGAGTTGTGTTGACCAAGAAGCAGTCCCCAATCAAGTATCATTCCCGGGTAAAGCCTTCCGATTTTCACCGTCAGCAAGACGCTTCTAGTCTGAGTTTGGGTTGTTCTGAACCTCAAAGATACGCCAACGGCGAAAGTAGATGGCGCAATTCCCTTAGGAAGTAAAAGGGGGGGGGGGGTCCGGTTACAGTTTCCTTTTTGGTTTCCCTTCTTGAGACAGCCAACAAATGGGGCGGCATCCCAAAACAAAAAGAACCTTGCCTGGTGCTTGTTGGGCTCCGCTTCGGGAAGCCTCGTAGAAAGTGGCCTGGTAAAGGGAAACAAAAGGACCCAATGCCTTCAGTTGCATAAAAGTAGATGGCACAAGTCGTCCCCCCCCCCCCGCATTTGGCTTAGTATGTTTCGTCATCCCCCAGTTGTCTTTTTGTGTGGGGCCCCAGAAAAGATCTCGTGCTTTGCGGCAAACCGTGATGGACAAGCCTTCGGAGTCTGCCGATGCTGAGCACTGGTCTTTTGCACCGGGTAGTCACAATAACTTATTCAGGCAGGCATTTTCCACTAACAAACGTGGCTTTCATGTCCCACAGCATTGTTCTGTTGGCACATTGACAAGCCATGGCGGGCCATGTTGGGCCCCTGGTGCCAGCCATGGGTTTTGCTCTAGTCTTTTGGGGCCCTGGTTCCAGTTGTTCACCCTCTATTTGGCATCTACGTTTAGCAGAAGGAGCCCGGGCACAGCTTTGAACTTCCAATTGCCAGACCCGCACTCTGCAGGCCCAGAAGGACGTGAAGGACTCCGTCCTGTCGGGGGCTATGGAGAAGCTCCGGGAATGGGTTGGGCCGAGCTGATTTTGGAAGGTCCGCAAGCAGCTGCAAGGTCTTATGGGGCCGCCAGCGTCATAAGCGCCATAAGCACCTTCCAATTCGTGTACGGAAGTGAGGGGATATTCCGGGCCCCAATGAATGAGGCCCTGGCCCCACTGAATGAGGCCCTTCCAATGATACACAGTGTTTGGAATGCGGGTACAACAGAAATTCATGAATATAGTTTTAAAAGGGAGACCCCCTGCCAGTTTCCATGCATGTTCCCAGAATGTGGGATACGAGACTAATCATGCATATCCGGGCCGAAGTCCACGAATGTTTCCCAGTTGGGGGCGATGACGGATGCGGGGCTGCGCGGAGGTTGGTGCACCCCACCTGCGGCCCCACTCAGCCTGGTGACATCGATGGCCTGGTGCGCATCCAGACCTACGAGGCCGGCTGAAACACATCGGCCGGAGCGGCCTCATGGCATGTTTGCGGGGATCCCTTTTACATCAGGTTTGCTTAATTTATTGTTTTGGATTGGCGGTTTAGGATTTGAAGCCCTGGTTCTTCTGGGTCGATGGGAAAAATTGCCTCCTAGCCAATCCAAACCAAGCTGATTCGCCATTTCGCAGCCTTGACAAACCGGGGGCGGATCCTTTGGGTGATATGGGCAGCAGGCAAACAGGGAGATCTCCTTCCACAAAAGGGGGGCAAGTCAGTAGGAAAAAAGGAAGCCAGGAGGTGTGCCTTGCTACCAACAAAAGGGCCGAGCAATGTCCAACCAAGGGGTCCATAATATCAAGGCTGACAGAAAGCTGAGAACGCCATGTTGGTAGAAACAAAGGTCCATGGGCTTTTGGCGCCGCCTGACCTTTGGGGCCTCCGGGTTTCACAGGCCCTGAAGAAGGAGACGGAGAAGGAGTACCCCATGTTCCGCTGGGCGTACCTGTGCCTTGGCCAGTCATGTTCGGCTGCTTGGAGGTTGAGTCCACATTTCCATTGACCGGGGTTCCATTTTGGGCCCCTAATTTTCAGCCACACCCAAATGTGAGCAACGGAGAAAGCACCAGGCACCCAGATATCGATTTTAAGTATTGCATGGGTTGCTGCTGGTATTGTCGGATATGGAGAGACAGATTCCGCGGTTCTGAGAGACTTGCGGGTTGGAAGGGTTCGGGGCGCGTGACATGCCAGGCTTTTGCGTGCAGAGGGAGTTCCTGTGCACGCGCTCTTTTGGTTTGTGGGATTTTGGTTCGATTGCGCGGGAATGGGAAAGATGGGGTTCATAGCCCCGTCCCATTTACATCCGGGCTGTTCCAATGAAGGATTCTCCGCGAGGGGCTTATGAATCACTAGGGTCCGTTTGCTTCCAAGCATAGTTACCCTAAAACGTGTTGTTTTTCTTTTAGTTTCCCTTTGACGAACCACCCAACAGGGGACCTCCATTTTTTTTACACCCCATCGGGTGCGTATTCTTCCACTGGTTTTGGGACCCCAAAGGCTTCATTGTGGCGCATGTTGGTTACAGTGGTCAAACTTGGCATGGGTCCAATAGAAACGGCACATTCTTGCATTGGGGAATCTTGGGACAACCCCGATTAACCTTTGGGACTGCTCCCACAAAGTTAGTTCACATGACATGAATCACCTGGGGTTCCCTTTTCTTTCCATATCAATGGGGTTCCCAATTGACACAAAATGGGATTCCCAATGGATTTCTGAAATTTTGCGGTTCCCTGTTCGTATCCCTTTTGACCTGGGCGATCTCTTCTGAGCGGAGGCCATACAGCATGAAGATGGCCTGGGCCCGAGACACACGCATTTGGCAGCTGGGAGGACGCCCCAAAGTGTAGTGAGAGTCCTTTCTAGGGGTGGAAAACTTCCTTTGGGTTGATTTTCATAATTCGCTTTCATTTCTTTTTTCTAAATAATTCGCTTTTATGCAAGTTAGCCGTCAACTGTGCTATTTTGCCCGTTTCCCACATGCCATATGGGGAAGTCAAAGGAAACCAGCCACCTGCAGAGGCCCTTAATTTCGAGACACGCTAAAATGACGATGTCGGAAATTGGGCGACATGAACCATTTTGAGGGGTTCCCTAGCTATCTTTCGATATCTAAATGGTCGGTTTGATGTAGGTGTTCATTCTTAGCGCTCCCGTCAAGACCCGCAAAGTAGGGAAGTAGGAGTTGTGCATCACTCTCTTTCTGTGTCATCCTTGCCATGGCCAGGTTCGCGTATTTCCAAAGTGTTTGGGTGCTTTGAATTTCCTTTTAAACCACTCTCAACCTTTTGACAACCCTCAGAATGGGTGCTTTCGCTTCTCGGGAGCTTTCGGATCTGAGGCCGGACCCCGCGAGGCGATCCAGCACATGATCATCCGCAAGCGCGGAGCCCAGCCGTGGCAAACGGCAACTAAATGATCAATGCCCACCAAACCGCCGCTGTTTTTTTCTTGTTTCTTTTTTTTGATTTCTCTTTGCGGTGCTGTGCGATTCCTAATGGAAGTTGCAGAAATGCCCAGCCTGCAATGCATCTGGTTCGGGTCAGCAGGATGTAAGTTGACGGATCTGTGACCCTGTTTGATCCAATACCTGCCACTCATCCTTTATGCTTTCAAAAATGGGTTTTACGCGGCCTTTGTGAGAGGCCTTTACAGGGGAGCCAACAACATCCTTCAAAGATGCTTAGCCACATGCGCACGTGCGCGCCTGTTCCACGAGATGGGTGGATCAACAAATTGTTGCCCAGAGGACGCTGTCACTTCGCCGTCCGATGAAATCGCCGTCGCACCTAGGAACTATGGCGCCACTCACTTCATCATTGGCCGTGACATGGCAGGCGCGGCTTTGGGCCTGCGCCCCTCTAGGGGAAGTGTACAACGTTCCAGGACGTGGTATGCACTAGCCTATCGCGAGGCCAAAGACCAGAGTTTCATGGTCACATATCCACCCAACCCCCAGCCCAGCGGTGCCCATTTTCCCTTTTGCTTGGAGGGGGGTGTCTCTTAAAAGTCAAGTACCAAACACGGTGCCCTTGTTTCCCATGGCCACTGAGGTCTGGGACCATTTGCAACTCTTGTATAACCTGAGGTGAAATTCAAAGGATCTGAGCAGTGATACACCGAGGGCTCAGCACAAATCGAGTCGAGTCACACTGATCTCAACGCAGCCAGCACAGCTCCGGATGGAAAGTGGGGACAGGAGGCCATGATTGTGGAGCATTTACCGTTTATGCGCCAGCACGATTTTCGGGAAACTTGCCCAAGCCCTGGGTTTTGGTGGGTGTTTAGCCAACATCCTATTGTGGTGCTTTGGGGAATCCCCCCCTTTTCAGGGATCCCAGGACCCAAATTCCTCCCTTGCCGGTCTTTGGAATGACCAAATCGCCCCTTAGATCGTTTGGGCACCTACGCCCAATGAGCAAGCCGGTTTAGAGCAACCCGGAAGGCACCAAGAGCACCATCGACGGTGAGGACTTCTATGGCGCGTACGATGCGCAGGTGCGGAGGGGAGATGGGGCCAAGAGCAGTTGAGCGATGAGCAATCGTAGTCAATTCGCCAGATCCTTATGCCAGATGGTAGTGGTTTCGTTTTCTGTGGTGTCCCACTACACATTGCGGATCCGCCCGATGTTGAACAGCCCAGCTAAGATAGGCTAGTTGCTGTGATGTAAATGGCCATTTGAGTACTTGGATTATACACCTTGCTCCCTTTGGAAGAAAAGACATACGTGTACCCCAACACATGCCCGTGATGCCTGCACAGGCGACCCCAGCTGAAAGGGAATACATATGTTGTTTGGGACACCTCTGAGTGAGAGAGGCTCCGAGTGCCAAAGTGAGGCTCCCACTTTACGATCCTCCCATTTTGTGCTGCCCTTTTGGTTCCTTTTCTCCTTGCTCCTGTGCTGCTGCTCGTGGGTAAGCCAAGCATCCTCCTCGTTGGATGGATTGCTTCTCATCACAGGGGTCAGCAAAATATCCGCTTTTGAGATTGCTTCTCACTTACCTTCAGGATCAAAATGAATTCGCCCGAAGCAAAACAAATCAAGCAGCAAGTGTCCACCTCATGTCGTGTTTTCTTTTGAGGAGACCGGCAAGAAGTACTCCGCCGAGCTGGGCGTGACGGTGACACACTACGAGAACATGGTGCCTTGACGATTCGGTTCGTCGCAAAATGGGGGGGGTGTCTTGTTTTGGGGATCTCCCCAAACAATGTGGGGGTTGCATTTTTGTTTTCCTTTAAAACCGTTCAAAAAGGTCCCGTCAAAAAGACACACCCTAACAGGACATGGAACTTTCCAAAAGGCTGTGGTTTCCGTTGGTTCCCTTTAACCAACCTAAAACGGGCATCGAGCCTCACAAAAAGATGAGCTTTCTGTTGCTACTTTTCCCGAAAGCATGGCGAAGGGTTCTTCCGCTGGGTTGAGAGTCATTACAAGGTGTCATTGCAAGGAATCATCATCATGAAAGTCATTGCAAGGAGTCATTGCAAGGAGTCATTGCAAGGAGTCATTGCAAGGAGTCATTGCAAGGAGTCATTGCAAGGAGTCATTGCAAGGAGTCATTGCAAGGAGTCATTGCAAGGAGTCATTGCAAGGAGTCATTGCAAGGAGTCATTGCAAGGAGTCATTGCAAGGAGTCATTGCAAGGAGTCATTGCAAGGAGTCATTGCAAGGAGTCATTGCAAGGAGTCATTGCAAGGAGTCATTGCAAGGAGTCATTGCAAGGAGTCATTGCAAGGAGTCATTGCAAGGAGTCATTGCAAGTCATTGCAAGGAGTCATTGCAAGGAGTCATTGCAAGGAGTCATTGCAAGGAGTCATTGCAAGGAGTCATTGCAAGGAGTCATTGCAAGGAGTCATTGCAAGGAGTCATTGCAAGGAGTCATTGCAAGGAGTCATTGCAAGGAGTCATTGCAAGGAGTCATTGCAAGGAGTCATTGCAAGGAGTCATTGCAAGGAGTCATTGCAAGGAGTCATTGCAAGGAGTCATTGCAAGGAGTCATTGCAAGGAGTCATGGCAAGGATTGCAACTTGCACTTGACTCCTTGCACTTGCAACTTGCACTTGACTCCTTGCACTTGCAACTTGCACTTGACTCCACTTGCACTTGCACCTTGCACTTGCTCCTTGCACTTGGCTCCTTGCACTTGCACTCTCTGCACTTGCGACTTGCACTTGACTCCATGCACTTGGCTCCTTGCAACTTGCAATGGCTCTCATGACTCCTTGCAATGAATGACTCCTTGCAATGACTCCTTGCAATGACTCCTTGCAATGACTCCTTGCAATGACTCCTTGCATGACTCCTTGCAATGACTCCTTGCAATGACTCCTTGCAATGACTCCTTGAAACAAGCAAGGAGTCAAGTGCAAGTTGCAAGTGCAAGGAGTCAAGTGCAATTGACTTGCGAGGAGTTAAAATCTCTTCTTAGGGCGGCGGGGTAGTGCCGACGACACTACACGAAAATCGACCCTCTGCGGGGATCGGCGTGGTCGAGGTGCAAAAACCCATGGTTTTTTCCGATTTCCAACATGCCCGCGCGACCCTCTGCGGGGATCGGCGTGGTCGAGGTGCAAAAACCCATGGTTTTTTGCGATTTCCAACATGCCCGCGCGACCCTCTGCGGGGATCGGCGTGGTCGAGGTGCAAAAACCCATGGTTTTTTGCGATTTCTGCGGTGCTCGCGCGACCCTCTGCGGGGATCGGCGTGGTCGAGGTGCAAAAACCCATGTTTTTTTGCGATTTCTGCGGTGCCCGCGCAACCCTCTGCGGGGATCGGCGTGGTCGAGGTGCAAAAACTCGAGGTTTTTTGCGATTTCTGCGGTGCTCGCGCAACCCTCTGCGGGAATCGGCGTGGTCGAGGTGCAAAAACTCGGGTTTTTTCGACTTTTGTTGTTCGAACTGGTCCTCGGGAGTTGTCTCGTGGTTCGCGCGCCTGCTCCCGGTTTCGATTCCTCCCTGGTCCGCGGGCGGGCGTCGCAAGATGCAACTTGCATTTTAAAGCAACTTGCGCAGAGCAACTTGCGCAGAGCAAGTTGCACAGAGCAACTTGCGCAGACCAACTTGCACCGACCAGTTTGCGCAGAGCGCCTTGCCTAGAGCAACTTGCGCAGAGCAACTTACGCAGAGCAACTTGCACAGAGCAACTTGCACAGAGCAGCTTGCACAGAGCAACTTGCAGGGAGCGCAATTTAGAGCAACTTGCAGGGAGCCACTTGCAGGGACCAACTTGCCGGAGCAACTTGCGCGGAGCAACTTGCGCAGAGCAACTTGCACAGTGCAACTTGCGTAGAGCAACTTGCGCAGACCAACTTGCACCGACCAGTTTGCGCAGAGCACCTTGCCTGGTGCTGTCTCGCGCTTGCTTCACAAATGCTTCGTGTAGGGATGCAGCGTTGGGCCGACCTCGCTTGCGATGTTCTGCTTTCGGGCCAACCGTGGTCTAGTTTTCATGGATTGTTGTAAATGGAAACCAAACGGAGACAGCCTTTGTTCTGTGGTTCTCCAAAAAAGACAGAAACCCAAATAGGGGGCAATTGCCAAGTGGGCGGTTGTCCTGTTTATGAAAAGCACCCCCAACCACATACCCACTCAAAAACAGTCACACCGCGGCCCGGTGGGCGTTTTCAACCCACAGGGAAATATTTGGGGACTTTGCACTGGGGGAGACATCCCCCCAGAAAACTCTGTTGCTTTTCGAGGGCTCTAAACATCACCTTGGGTGACTTAAACATCGCCGCCCGTTTAAAGTGACTTCCCTCTCAGTGGCCAAGGTGTACGTCGGCTCTGAGGAGGGCTACGTGCAGGAGAGTCCGATGGGTCCGATTTGCACCGGGTTCCCGAAAGCGATGCCATGAGCCAGGCTCGTGTTGTTCCGTTCCGAGAAGATGAACACACAAAGGGTATTGCCGGTATTGCACATTGAACAGTTCGTTTGGTTTTCCCTGTGGCTTGCCAAACTCCAACTCATGCCTGCGTGGTTAAGGACAGCTCATGGTCAAATTCCCTGGACAGGCCTAAATGGAACCCTGACGTTGCCAAGCCGGGGTGGCGCTAGCTCCGGGCATGCCGAAAGACCTTGGAAATTCAATCCCACAGCCATTTGGCTCGAGCTGAGGTCAATACCATTGAGTTTTGAGGCGGACATGGCAGACCCAGCAAAGTGCCTTGTGCACCAGGAAGCCTCGCATCTTGCCTGCGAACTCACTGATTGAGAACCGCACATTACATTCGTTTGTCACAGTAGATACAACGACCTCTATAGAACAGATGCTCTCTTTTTTCACTTTGTCGCCGGACTCAGCTGGATGAGTGTTGATGGCCGACGAGGGTAGACTTGAGCTATGCCTCTTTGGGAAGTTATGGGCGGTGGAGAGAAGGGCGGCATTGTGATCCGAGAAGGCGCCTTTTGGTGGGGGAACGCTCCTAACCAGGGTTCCGGGCTCCCAGTCCTTCATTTGGTGGATTCAAACATCACCTTGGCCCACGTAAAGTCAGTTTCCTTGTAGGGGGAAAGATAGTTACCACTGGACCTTTCTTTGGGAACTAGTTGTTTCTCCATATCAATGAATGCCCTACTTGTAGATGTTATCCGAGGGCCCTAAGTGGCTCGACCGAGCCATGGCAGTGTTTGTCCCTCTAAAAAGCAGTTGAACCAGCACGCAGAGGGACATCCTTCGGCCCTGGTCTCTAGTCATTGTTCTGCTCACAGGGGAATATGTGTTGATGTGGCGTGATTTGTTGTTGACAGTGATTGAGCGACCTCCGTAGAAAACCTCAAGAGGGTCCCTTTCCCTGAACGGGTGGGTCTTTGACTTGAGCGGATCAGGAGCTTCGGTCGGGGGGCAATGTTTCAAGGGACCAGTTGACGCAGATAGGGCCCCGTAAATGCCACCCCACTAGCTGGTGCCTGGCGGCCCATCAATGGGTGCGCATCTTTGGAAGAGCCCTAGGTGATTGACTCACAGGCACCTCCAGTTCGAATCCATCGCGCTCAGCAGTTCATCCCGTAAATGGTCGTTTGAAGTAAAAAGCAACCCACGCCCCCAAGGGGGGAACATTGAGATCCCCTCAAATTTTCGCCACTTGGACCCAAGCCGATCCCATTTTTCTGACGCCAGGTCGGGACTTGACCTCCAAGGAGGAGCAGGAACGCCTGTCCACAGGAGCGAAATTGCCATGCCAATTGGATTTGTCAGATTGTTTGTCAGTTTGGGGTTGGCTTAAACTTTAAACAACACCTGTTGGCTCATCTTAAATTGAGTTTCCTTTGGCAGTTTTATGTTTAACGAGGAAATCGAGGGAAACTTGTGATGTGCGAAAACGGTGCTGTGACAGTGAGAGCCTGTGTCCTTATCAAAGCCGTCCGATCTTCGATGTAAGACTCAAGGGCTTGACGTAGAAAAGCCAAGGAAGGCATGGTTCGATTCAGCATTTTACATGTGCCGTCAAAAGAAGTTGTTTGGCGTAGCCTTGGTAAGGGTTCCTAATAAGGAAACCATGATCACGGCCCACTGCAGAGTTTTGACCATCAACCATATGGATTGAATTCATGAACATGCAGGCGACAAAGAGGACTTCCAGCCAAGTCGGACAGCATGTAAAAGCTAAGGACCCCTCCTGATGATCGGTCACACATGACAACCAGTGGCTGGTGCTGTTTGTATGCCGGTGGCCAGGAGCCCTGGTTTTTGAGCGGGAGGTGGCTGGGGAACGCCTGAGATACCTCCGGATGCCGCTCGGCCGAGACCAGCCCTTGCCGGCCGATTGCCGACAATCAGGAAGGGTGGAGGGGATAGTTACGGATAGTTTTGAGGGTATCCCTTTTGGGAGCCCATGCAGGAGCAAGGCCCATTGAGGATTGCCCAACGGTGAAGTCTTGCTCGCTAGATTGGAGCGAGTGTTGCAGGCACAAAGGCAGCGTCAACATTGCAGCGTTTGCTGGCCCCAGTTGTATGTGAGCAACTGACAAAACTACGGTAGCCTATTGGAGGACATGGGGACAAAAGTCAGGGAGACCCGATTTTCCCTAGGCTCATGTGCGGGGTTCTCAACCTGGTGGCCATTATGGTTGGCTCCCCCCTATGGTCGGTTATACTCACGTCATTTTCCCATGTGGTACCCTTCAGGCCCTTCGATGTCAATCCCCACCACGTGGAGTTTCTGCAGGTTTCCCCTTTTTGGGACCCAGATCCAGACCGGTTTCCGAGTTGGCCAGGTCCGGAACAGGCCCAATGCAGGGCTGGGCGAGCCTTCGCATTAAGGAGGGCCATTGGGGGGTTTTCCCAGGATTAAGGTGGCTTTGTCAGAACAGGTTGGTTTTCTGCTGTGGTGTTCCTTTTGTTTTTGCTGGTTTTCCTTTGTTTGCTTTCCAATTGTTTTCCTCTGGATTTCCTTTGGATTGGATATGTGGCAAGATGGGTTTGTCCCAAACTGGTTGATTTGTCGATAGTGCAACAACCAACGCGCATGCCAGAGAAGACAAAGGATCCCCTCTAAGTTAGGATCAGTCAACCATGGGGGTTTGCGATCCGGAGCTACCATTGGGCTCAGGCTGGTATCTTGGAACACTCAGCGTTGAGTGTGTCTCGTTTTGAGGATTCCCATTTTTTGAGCTGGCGTGCAGGGAAATCAATTTGGGGTCCTTTTGACGTCCTTTTTGACACACTCCCTTGCCGCCTTTGCAACATTTCTCACCCACACCATGCAGTCAAATGTTTTTTCATCCTCATGTTGCGCAGGACAAGCCGCTGTTAGTGCAAAGGCTGGGAGTCGCAGGGTGAGGTCAGCCCTTGTGTTGAAGGGGCCAAGCATATGGGTGGCTCGTCCTTTGTCAAATTGAAGGGACACCGCAAACTCCCCTAGTCTGAGACAAGCCCATATTGCTTTTAGGAGTCGTACCCTTCTACCCCAATCGGGTGGATTAAATTTCCCAGACCTTCATTTTGCAAGGAATATGACCTTCGGGTGCAACTCTGGGACCACAAACCCCTGAAGGCTTTGGCATGCACTGAATTGCTTGTTCTGGGTTCCATGGGAGCTTCAACATGAAGCTCTTGAATTGAGGTGCCCGGGTGCCCGTTTTTGTTCCTAGGCCCTGTGACATCTCACATGCGCTGCTTGCATTGGTTGTGGCAGCCAGGGGCAACCATCACAGTCACATGCAATACTTGAGACCATGATGCCCATGCGAAGACTTGGCCTTTTGTCCGGTGTGTCGTCAACAAACGTGCAGGGATCAGTGTTTTTGCCCCTGATGTGTGTTTGCAACCAAACAGTAAGCATATTGCATTTTTATGACCACTTGGCGACGTCTTCGAGCGATTAACTTCCATCCGCACCCTGATTCCTGATAGAGCCTTTGCCGGGCGATCTGAGGGGTGCCAACACTGGGAATGAGGTTCTTTAGATGGGACACCCCCACTCACTTCTTGTTGGGCTAAAGTTTGGATTTCCCCATGCAAACACTCCGTTTTTTGTCAGGGGTTGACATAACTCGTCATTAGAAAGGCGAATCGGCTAGCGAGCGACTCGCTCACTCGCTAGGCCGCTGCAGCGCAAGGTCAGGGTGCTCGCGCTGCATGGGGCGCCGGGCAACTCCAACATCATGTGCCTCCGGGGGGGAAGTTGGGGGGTCTGGAGAACCTCCAAATTTAAAGTTGTGAGGGTAGCACCTATTCTCAGGCTCTGTAGAGATTTGCCTGTGCCATGGACGCAAGGTGGACACTTGGTCAATTTTCCCTGGCCACCTTCTTCAGGGGTTGTTTTTTTGGTTTAAAGTCTGTTAAGTCGTGGGGTGAAGGAATAGCTTGTCGACCCGGGATTCATGTTGGGAACCCCCTATCTCTTTTGCCGGGTTTATTGATGCGTGATCAACCTGTCGACCCCACTTGCATGCAGTCGCAAATCAAAAGTGGCTCAGATCCCCTCTTAAATCGGACACCCTGGGGTTTATCAATCCTGGGTTCCAATTATGGAGTGGCAAGAGGGCCCAGGCAGAACTGCAGGGCTCTGGGTGTCAGGTGTTGGGTGCACAAGCGTGTTGACCGCGCGTGCTGAGAAAACTCGATGTTTGTGTTGAACTTTGGGAGGTGAAGCTGACAAAATTGCGATTTCCTTGCGCGGCTGGAATCCCAGAGGCCTTTTGGCTTAGGGAAGCGGCTAGCGAGTTTGCAAATCGGCCAATCGGCCAATCGGAAACTGTGGGGTAGCATAAGGGTGGATTCCCCGTGTACTCGAGCTGTTTTCGAACCATTGTGTTGCCTTGAGTCGCGGCTATTTTTGG